TTAAATACATGATAGGGTCATTGTTTTATTAAATTTGAACTATTCATGTGTTGGATGTTAATTGTTAGAATATTTAATTCTTCGATGCAATTACATGGATTATTACTGGATTTTAATTGCTAGATTGTTAATATTCCTTCTGCAATTATTTGGATATAAATTTTGGATTGTAAATTACTAAACTGTTATATATGATGTAGTTTACAAGGATATGGAGGGTTGTATGCACCGGTATGGGACGGTGACATACTGGTGACGGTTTAGCTCCAAATACCTAAACCTAACCTAATAGATTTAAGGAATGGATTTATAAATGTTGAATCCTAATTTTGGTTAAGACATATCAACTGCAACAAAGTTGAGTGGCTTCCTGGATTAATGGACGGTGGTTCAGTCACATCAACTGAATAAGTTGAGTGCCTAACCAGTTGGTTTGTTGTATGTCAGTTTATTAAATATTTGAACTACATACCCTGGATTTGGACGGACTTTATATATATGTTTATGGTATCTCGAGTTGAGCTTGAGTCTCAGACTCGTTGGTTAGGGTGCGTATATGCAGTGGATGCGTAGCTGGTTATAATAGGTTGAGGTGTACCCTGTTAGGTCTAGGTACTCATGCCCACCTTTGGGTGCGTATTCGCATGATGCCTTCTATTCAGGTTGAGACCCCTATTATAGACTAGTGAATGTCCCTTAGTGTGGATATATTTATACGTATGTACTAGATAGATATTGTGAGGTGTCTACGGTGTATCTGCGTATCGGGTCCCTGTATGGATTGCAGTTAGATTAGAACTTGGTCGTGGGTCTGACCCACTCCTTCATTATTCTTTTCAGGTACAGGACGGTTCCAGCCTTAGAGCTTGATCGTGCTTATCGAGGACAGTCTCACCTTCATCTGATTACGTAGGACTTCTCTCGATGTTTCTAGCATTATCTATTTTCAGTTTTCAGTTTCAGTTGAACTTTTGGTTAGGGGTCCATCAGTGGATTCCCAAGTTGTAACCTTGAAGTTTTGAAGGATTGGAGTTTCAATATTCAGTTTTACATGAAGGGTTTTATTATTATTTTTTTCTTTTCAGCTTTATTCTATCTTTATTGGTTCTTTTTGTCATCTGTGTTCGTATTAAAATACTTTAATTGTTTGATATTACCTCGGGTTTGGGCCTGGGCCTGATCAACCCATGTCTTGGATCCGAGGGGTATCACAAAAACCGTAAGGGCTCAGGCCCAAAACGGACAATATCATACCATGTGGTGGAGTGGGTCGTTACAAATGGTATCAGAGCTTGACCCAGTCGGAAGTGTGCCGACGGGGACGTCGAGCCTCCAAGGGGGGTGGATTGTGATGACCTTGTGGGCGGGTGTGTCGTGGGCTGGTGCGAGAGACACTGTTAGGCTACCACACTGGCAAGCTACGGGTGCACAGTCCCACATTGCCTGGGTAGAGGAAAGGTGAAGTGCCTATATGTAAGTGTGTCACCTCCAATTGGTATGAGGCCTTTTAGGGTGAAGCCTAAGAGCAAAACCGTGAGGGCTCAGGCCCAAAGCGGACAATATCATACCATATGGTGGAGTGGGTCATTACAAATGGTATCAAAGCCTGACCCAGCCGGAAGTGTGCCGACGAGGACGTCGGGTCTCCAAGGGGGGTGGATTGTGATAACCTTGTGGGCAGGTGTGCCGTGGGCAGGTACGAGAGACACTGTTAGGCTACCACACTGGCGAGCTACGGGTGCACAGTCCCACATCGCCTGGGTAGAGGAAAGGTAAAGTGCTTATATGTAAGTGCATCATCTCCAATTGGTATGAGGCCTTTTGGGGTGAAGCCCAAGAGCAAAACCGTGAGGGCTCAGGCCCAAAGCGGATAATATCATACCATGTGGTGGAGTGGGTCGTTACAAATGGTATCAGAGTCTGACCCAGCCGGAAGTGTGCCGATGAGGACGTCGTGCCTCCAAGGGGGGTGGATTGTGATGACCTTGTGGGCGGGTGCGAGAGACACTGTCAGGCTACCACACTGGCGAGCTACGGGTGCATAGTCCCACATCGCCTGGGTAGAGGAAAGGTGAAGTACTTATATATAAGTGCATCATCTCCAATTGTATGAGGCCTTTTGGGGTGAAGCCCAAGAGCAAAACCGTGAGGGCTCAGGCCCAAAGCAGACAATATCATACCATGTGGTGGAGTGTGTCGTTACAAATGGTATCAGGATCTGACCCGGTCGGAAGTGTGCCGACGGGGACGTCGAGCCTCCAAGGGGGGTGGATTGTGATGACCTTGTGGGGGGGTGCGCCGTGGGCAGGTGCGAGAGACACTGTTAGGATACCACACTAGCGAGCTACAGGTGCACAGTCCCACATCGCCTGGGTAGAGGAAATGTGAAGTGCTTATATGTAAGTGTGTCACCTCCAATTGGTATGAGGCCTTTTGAGGTGAAGCCCAAGAGCAAAACAATGAGGGCTCAGGCCTAAAGCGGACAATATCATACCATGTGGTGGAGTGGGTCGTTACATAAGGACACTCCGGCTAATTGTAGGTAACGGAAATGTTGAAAGACTATTTTACCCATGCAAAAAAGGGCCACTGTTTCACTCCACAACCACTTAAGTTAATGAGATTAAACAACCAAATCAGCCAAACGTATATTGCTTATATATATATATAGAGAGAGAGAGAGAAAGAGTGAAATATTACGGTGGACCCAGAATCAACGCCTCTTCTCTTCTCCGTAGTTCAATCGTTCTCCTTATCCAGGGAATCTAGCAGATCCGATAATGATGAAGCAGCAACGACAACGGATAGATCCGACGACAACAAAGATTTGGCGATAGTAAGTATCAGTCCGGCGGTGAGAATGGTGAAAGGCTCAACCAACAATGATGAATGCCTGGTAATTGGCGATGATGATGGCTATGAGAATGCTTTGTTGCTGTTTCGAGACCCACCGACGTGGCTATTGTTGCGACTGGGTTTACTTGTGATTGGGTTTAGCGATGGATGGAGAATTTTGCGATTGGATTTGCGGTGACAAAATATAATGGGGGTTTTGCGAGTGGGTTTGCTTGTGATTATGTCTTGCAATTAAATACGTTAGTGTGATTGGGTGGTGGCGATGTATTAAGAATTTTGTGATTGGGTTACTTCTGATTGGGGTGAGAATTTTGCAATTGGGTTTCCTTGTGATTGGGGTTGAGAATCAATTCTATAAAATCAAATTTCTCTCTTCCTGATAACCATTGCCATGAATATGGATGATGTGGACTAGAGTTAAATATATAGAGAGAGACAGCGGGGGAGAGAGTGGAATTCAGTTAAGAAGATTTTTTATTTATGCATCTGCACATGCGTGGTGAAGAAGATGAACATAATATATATTTTAACTGTGTATATATATTGTGTGTGTGTGTGTATATATATATATATATATATATATATATATATATATATAGACAGAAGGGTGTTATTTTCATTAAATAAAAATTAACCCACCACATGACAGGCATGTGACTAACTTTTCATCGGCTGGAATGGGTATTGTGTAATGAAATGAGATAGTTTAGGGTTTTTTTTTTTTTTTGTACTAAATATAGTTTTGGGGGGTTTGTCGTGAGAGAGAGTATAATTAAGGAGGGTTTTATGCACTTTACCCTAATATATATATATATATATTTGCACACCTGTAGTTGTGGTGGGATTGGGATCTGCATTTTGAAGCTAGAATCTAACACACAAAAAAGTCGTAGGTTTACCGATTAGTATTACCTAGCTACTGATTTATTATTAGAAGTTTTAGTTGCTGATTTTTACACATATATATATAGCTTCATATTCTGGGTATGGGTCTCATTATTGAAGAATGACCCAGTTAAGTGCCACATGTTAGTTATATATACACTAAGATCAGTTCGTGCACCTTCTGAAAAAAGAAAAAGAAAAAAATAATAATAAATCGGTGAGTGCAAAAGAAAAGGTGAATAGCGCTCCATTGATATATTTGTTTTTCTGCTCATAAGAGATACAACTTTTTTTTTTGTGAGTCTTGTAAGAGACACAATATTAGTTCAGTTGTGTCTCGTACTAAAGAATAATTATAAATTTATAAAGTAAATAATACTCAAGTTATTTCAACTTGTTTTTTAAAGTTAATATAGAGTCAAAGAGATAATAAAGTCCTTTAATTCGTATAAAGTGATTTAACATATATGAAAAGTAACTCCCTAGATATGAGTAAAAAATAAACTAAATCTTTGTTACGGAAGTGATAGTTACTTTTAAAAGGTATTTCGGTATGATATTTAGTCAAATTTAAAAGAATATCAATGTAATTAATTCTATTTTTAAAACTTGATTGAGGGGACAATTGTGTGGAGTAAATCTTAAAGAATTATTAAAGTCCCACCTGCCCTTTATAATAACAAATGAAATGCTCTTATTCTATAATAATTTTAATCATGTCAATATTTAATCCATGATCGTCTTGGTGTCCGGTAAATAAATATTAAAATATGTAAAACTCACTTTCATAGCATTTAATAATCATTTTTCAAAAAAGTAAACAATGTATATATTCCATTTGTCTTGAACTCTTGACTCTATAATTGGAGAAATAAAAGTTCATATCATACATTCCACCGACACAGTCGTATTATAATTTTCAACCATGAACATTTCAAATCATTTTTCATCCTTAAAAGACATAAGACGTGATACCATGTTTTTATGATAAGAAAGATGATATCATGTCAAATAAAATACATTCAAACATGTTTGGTCACATCACAATTAAATGTTCCTGTATTTATTGATGGTACTAGCTAGTAACATATTAGACTTTTTGAACCTAGGGTTTTGACCAATCATGAGAGTGCACAGCAGAAGAAAACGTGGCTCTGTACAAGCCCATGTTCAATTATGGAGTATATCAGGCATGATTTGATGTTCATGTCACAAATTTTGATGAATGAAAATGAACGGTAGAGATTAATTCATCTTACTAGGCAGTACTCTGGGCCAGCTGATAGAGAATCTGAAAGCATCCAACCCTGTAAACTTCATCAGTTGCACATCTTCCTGTAACACTTTTTTCAGTTATATTTATAGCAAACTAAAATAAGGGTAAAAAAAGTGATCAAATTTACTTTAATGAGAAATAATAGGAAGTCTGATGGCCGATGAAATTTGACTTAAATTTTAAAATTATGCAATATATATTTACTAAGGAATTTTTTTTTGTTACACATCTAGATATATATATGTGCGCGTGTGTGAATATAATACCTTATAACGATGATAAAAATCGTCCGCTACATCTCCATTGCTACGATCCGTTATTTTACCTACAATATCATAATAATATTAAGAAAAAATTATGTTGACTCTGTCCTTGCTCATTCTGTCATATTGATTAATAATTACAAGTAATAAAATAAAATATTTTTACTTATATGACAAAAATATAATTAGTTGATGGCAGAGATGTAATATAAGTTATATAACCAATACAGGAAAGTCTTTTTGGCTCATTAATTAGGGCATTCTAGCTTTTAGCTTAGTCCTTATTCACATGCAATCTATAGTCATGACAAAAACCCTAGCTCTAATAAGGGTTCTGGTTTAAACATAATGGGCCCATGGGATATCAATCAATAATTCAATATTGAATAATTAAGCATCTTCTTTTATTGTTTGTTTGTTTTGTGTTTTTTTGTTTTGTTTATGTTTTAATTTGGTTTGTTTTGTTTTGTTTTTTTCCCTACTGGTGATAATAGTGGTTGAATAAGCGAGAAAAATAATGGATTAAAATCAAGACAGAGTTAGGGTTGTCTTTCAGGGGGCATAGTGTAATTGATAAGAGGAAAAAAATATATATACATCAAACACATATATAATATTTTGATTGGAGAGTGTACCAAAGAGGACGAGGAGTGAGGAGTTTCAAATAAAATATATTTTATATTATATGATACTTTCAGAAAATAGTGATTCCTTGGGCTTTGATAGGTGAATGACAAAATTATCCCATCGTTTTTACTAATTTGTGTGAATTTTTTTTTTTTGAGGGGGAGTATATTTGAACTTTCAAAAATATATACATATAATAGTATAAAAACTAGGATGTTCATTTTAATGATTGTTGTCACTCTCAACCCTATTAGACACTAATTAATATAAGAATGCTTATTCACTTTTTTGCTAATTTAAGAATGAATTTTATTTATTTATGTTTTTTGGGCGAGGAAGAATTAGCACGTTGATTAAGCGGAACTCTCGGATGCTAAACAAACTCATGCTTATTCGTGTACATGTGCATATTATATAAATATCAACTTAATCATAACACTTAAGAGTGAGATTTCAATGTTATCCATAAATTCATAGACTCCACTTGATTATTTTTTTTACAAGGAAGATAAATGGTGAAAAAGGACCTACAATCTATATGAACACTGGATTACTAGAAGACGAATTTCACAAAAAGTCTTTGATATGACTTACTTTAAAATTAGATGTAAACACATCTTCTCATATATATATATATGTGTGTGTGTGTGTGTGTGTGGGGTTACAAAGGACACATATATAACGTGAGTCTTCTCTAGCATTGCCCTAAAAGAATATTCCAAGGATTCGTTTTTAATTAGTATCAAGGCGAATAATCGAAGAAGATTTTGGATTATTAATTAACAAACTCAGTCGATTTTCGATTCTGTTAACTACTCACATGGCCTTCGAGGATAGTTTACACACCTTTTTTATTTTTTATTATTTAATGGAAAAACTCTCCTCTTTGTAGAATATACGTACACTAATGTAGTTTTCATATAACATATTCAAGTAACCCCAAAATATATATATATATATATATATATATAAAACATATTCAAGTAGTTGGAAAAGGATTTTGTTTGAATTTAGGGAGGCCAACTCCTCTCTTTTCCTGTACTAAGTGCACTCTCACAAACAGGTACATGCATATATCAGTTGTTTAATCTTGAGAAAAAAAAAGAAAAAAAAAAAGAAGGTATATGTATAGGTGTATATATATATATATACAAGTGCACTTACACACGTATATACATATGTATATTCTCATACAGAGTGGTGATCTATTGCTCACCAGTCACCACTCTGTATGTATATATATACACATATATATACAAGTACACTCACACACGTATCTTTATATATATATGTGTGTGTATATATATATATATATAAACAAGCACGTACTCTCAGTCTGTCTCTCACACGCAAGTATATGTATATGTATATGTATATGTATACGTGTGTGTATATATTATATATATATATATATATATATAGATTAGAGAGAGACCTGGATATGTGTGAATGAATTGATCCCATATGCTTGGGCCTCTCCCTCCTTCTTTGGCTGCACCTTCATACTGAAAAATCATACATAAAACACAAATAAATTAAGAATGTGATCAAGATTTCAAATGCAAATTAAGTTTCATTATCTTGAAGCCGAAAAATTAAGATGAGAAGTCAAAAACTCATATATATATATATGTACATACTTGGTAGGCAGCTGAGGATGCTCCAAATAAAAAACCATCAGGAAAACTGCTACGATTAAAGGAAATTGACACTCCACTCGCTAAAGCAAACTCAGTCCTAGCCAACGAGTTGACCAGGACCACCAGGACAAGTAGTAGAGAGCCTTGAATTGCCATGCTCAATCTGCTGCTTTCAAGTTTCTCCTCATCACCCCTTTAAATAGATTTTAGAAAAGGATTTCATTTCATATTTTATTTTTATTTTTTTACTTTTTTTTAGAGGGAAAGATTTGAAAATTAGGATATATGTTGAAAGCTATCCTTTATTAAAAAATGTATTTTTTTATTTGTTTATTTACCATTTTGGTTTTGATAAAGACATCATATCCAAAGAGACTACAAAACTCAGAATTCGAGATGTTTTTGTTGTATCATGTAGTGGACTTAAAAATAGCAATTTTATTTATAATATGCCTCGCGCTCTCCCATGCCATGAGTCATTAATCATTGAGGTGGATATAAATCATTTGAGAAATAATACAAGAGTCAATACATTCAACTAAAATTATGAGTGAATAATCATATTTATATTTGAGTATTCTCTCATAAAATAGGTTAAACCAGCTATTTTAAAATCGTACCTTTTTTTTTTTTTTTTTTTTTTTTTTTCACAAATGCCCGGTGGGGATATGAATATATCCTTGACTTTGATAAAATTTGTTTTAGTTACTAAGATGATGGACTTTCACTTCTTTAAGTGAACATATTGTTATTTTTCTTGAGATTACGAGTTTAAAATCGGAAACAGCCTTTTTCATGTGATGGTAGAATGCAAACATTTGCCCTCTCCATATCTCACAATTAATGTGATTGCTTTTTCTATATTGTAATATTCCTTTCTGTAATACCAAGTCTTTTCTGATATAGATTTAGGAAAACACTTCCTATCACTACTTGCTTGCTTGACCAAAGGAAAAAAAAAACAAAAGACTTTGCTATAACCTTCACTCAGAAATGCTAGTACAGAGAGCTTGAGAGAACCAACTAAACCACAAACCATGATAAGTTCAGCTTCTCTTAACCTAATGGCCATATATATATACAAGCTCACTGTAATCGTGATAGCCATTGTTGTGACCATTGTTCCAAAGAATTGGTTCGTTCCAGCATTTTAGAACTAGATCGACGTTCAAGTGATAAATTTGTGAATTAATTTTTATTAACAACTGATGTGATAATCATTAAATTTTTTTTTAAACAAATTTAATATTCTAAAAAGAGAAACTTAATTCTTATTAAATATCAAATAAGGAAAAGAGTATTTTATAACATTATTCTTTTAAGAAAGAGATAAATTGTAGTAAGATCGATATTTGTAACATTACTTTGTAGAGTTTAGGCTGACCATGTTAGGCATTGTGACATTTTGACAGCTGTGGTGGAACCCTAGCCATTGTGAGACACTTATATGTGAGTCGTACGCAGTAGAATATTTAAATTTTTTTGATTATTTTAAAATAGATCTGTGTCTTTTCCAACTTTACTTATTTTAACAATTAAACAATTAATCACATGCAGATAAAATAAATCAAAGTATAACGTTAGAGATGACACTAGGATTTTTAGCGAGGAAATCCCAATTGATAAAATACGCCAACTGTTTGTATGGGAAAAACCTCGTGGAGTACTGTGCAGTCCAAAGTAAACTGATCCACTATGCTTAAAACAAAGTACACTGAACTTTGGTTCTGGCTTACACCCTATCGTTCTACCAAACACCAACTGCTGACAATCCTCTAACTCTGCGACTCCCCGTCCAATAGCAACTTGACCTCAGGCTTATGCTTGATATTTGTAGATTAGTAGTAGGTAGATTAAACAACACTCCTTGAATGCTCCAACCCTTTTAAAGTGTGATCGCTTTTACTTCTGTTATTCAATCGTCTGAATTCGATGTAGAAGTAGATTTGTTTTTGTCTGATCGATGTAGATGCAACTGTATGATCACGATCAGGATTTGAACACCACAACTCTAAACTTATTATGTGTTTATGTGTATGTGTTCTAGAAAGATGACAGAGAAATCTCTTGAATTTTTTGACAGACTAATCTTCCTAAGGCTTTTTAAAATAATGAACTTGTAGAACAAAAGGAGTGAATAAACCTATATATATGACATGGTTTATATAGAGGTTTGCAAAGTCCTATTCTTTCTGAAAATAAAGGAAAATTCTTGCATAGGACTTGGAAGGAAAGTTGGATAAAAAATGAATCAAACAGAATAAGGAAACTGAAAACCTGTTGCAGTAAGGACTTCTGGAACCGGTTTCCAAAAGACAGAATGGAGTTCTCGAATCTCAGCTTCTGAAAACGGTTCCCAAATCCAGGTATCAGTTCCCACTTGACATAATCCAATTTGAACTTGGATTTTCTGTTTTTAGAAACTTTGAAAATGTACCTTATAGATATTTGTGTCATAAGTGGGAAACGATGTTCTAATGTATTGTTCTTTCCTTTTAGATGATCAACAGTACTTTCCTCTTCTGAACAACCTTTGAATTCCGCAGTCGATGTCGATTCTAATATGGTAACTGAAATTACAACTCGACTATGACTTGTTTTGTTACCGAAATATGCCAATTACAAAAATATATCTCACAATCTCCCCATTTGAAAATTTCGTGACAAAACTCTAGAAACAATTTATAATTTTTTATTTTTAGAAACTCTGGAAATATACCTTATAAGTATTTGTGTCATAAGTAGTAAATGATGTCCTAACGTGTTGTTCTTTCCTTTACGATGATCAACAGTACTTTCCTCTTCTGAACAACCTTCGAATTCCGCCGTTGATGTTGATTTTGATATGGTAACTAAAATTACAACTCGACTATGACTTGTTTTGTTACTGAAATATGCCAATTACAAAAATTTATCTCACAATCTCTCCCTTTGGCAATTTCGTGACAAAACCCTAAAAATAATTTATAATCTACTCAAAGCAGAAAAGTAAATTATAACTATTTAAGGAAACATGTAATTATTTTTTTTAATCTCTGTTCTTTTTTGCTCTTGGACAAAATTTCACCTAAATTCCTGCACATGGATCAAGCAAAAACTATCGGGTAAAGTTTAATAAAACAAGTTAAAAACTCCTCCTGAATAAATTATCTAAAAAAATTTAGATTTTTCTCCCCCTTAATGTAACCTTGTTCTCCCCCTTTTTGGAACTAAATTGACAAAGCAATCTAAATAGGTCATTGAGAGTAGAAACAATACTAAATAGAGAAAACAATAAACAGGTTATTACATATCAGCAGTCAAAAGATAATATTCAAAAATATCAAGTCATGACAATGTAAAAGCTGAACAAAAAGTGATACGTGTATGATATGCATAATGAAATCAAGCATCAACATCTCCAGCAAACGGAATAGTAGTAGTCGGAATGTCCTCATCACCATCATCAGTGTCACTACCATTACCATCCTCTGCATCCTCATCTGTCTCATCATCCTCATCTCTCTCAGCCTCAGGAACAAGTGACGGATCTGAAGGAGCTGGTTTGTAGACATCCTCAGAAGTACTACCTATCATTTGCTCTCTAAGCAATAGATCAAGAGCAGTATCCATCATGGCCTTCTGATTCTGAAGAATCAGGGAGTATAACAGATTAGCATCCAGTGTTGTGAAATTCCATTTAGACGAAAAAAGTTGAGTAATATCAGTTAGAGATGATGAAGCAGCTGAACCCCTACTAGCTTTCCTAGCTAAAGCCTTGGCGGATTTAGACTTATTAAAAGCCTAACATACATCTCAGATATAATTTCAATATGATGAGCACAGGCTGGAAGTGGAATCTCAAACTACCGATACAAACCACTACAACAAAAAAAAGGTCTTTTACGAGTGTTTGGACCTCCCGTGAAAACTTTTTCACTGCCCTTTAGAGCCCCTCGTCTATTATGGTCTTGTAAATACTCTCAACTTTTTACGAGATGTATGAGATCTCATAATTAATGTATTAACGAGTTGTTTATCCACTCTTTAATAATTAATGTACGAGGCACTTGACCTCTCGTATTAATTTATTAACGAGTTGTTTATCCACTCATTAATAATTAATGTACGAGGTATTTGGCCTCTCGTTAATAATTAATGTACAAGGTATTTGGCCTCTCGTTAATAATTAATGTGCGAGGTACTTGGCATCTCGTAAATAATTAATGTACGAGGTACTTGGCCTCTCGTTAATAGCTATATATATATATATATATATATATATATATAATTTATTTATTTATTTAATAAATGCACCTTCAAATGCTACCCAATTATTTACATATATAACCTGTAACTTGTAATGGCCACAGTTTCAACTAAACAGTAGTATAAAATGCTAACAATTTGCACTTAATGCCAATACTCAAAATAATCCATATTTAAATTCACCATTAAACATATCAAAAGACATTTTACAATTAATCATTATTTAATGTGCCAAAATTAAAAAAAAATCCAATATTTACCAAAAATAGATCAATATGTCAATTTTCACATTGTTCATTAATTCTTGGCGCAAGTTGACTTCCAATCTTTCACACTTCTTCCACCTCATTGTCCATGGTACAAAATCCAAGCATGTACCTGCATCACACAAGTCTTAATTTTAGTATGATAATAATGTATACGAAGCCATGAACTGCTAGTAGAGAAAATATATACGAAGGCTTATAGTAGAACTAAAGATAGGCACCTAGAGAATTAGGGTAGAAGTGCAAAACGACTGCTGCTTATATCCCAAGTACATATACATAATAAAATGCTCCATGTATCTTCCTCTGCAAAACATTCCTACTTCTTCTATCAGGTACTATAATTAGGATTAATTAGTTGTGAAAACAAAGAAGACTAGCTTTTAGATATATATAACAAACTTGTCATTAGAAAAGATCAAAACACACACACAAGCAGATAAAGCAACTATAATGAATAGAACAGAGTTTGTTGAATTATAAATTCCTTGACTACATATATATTTTAAGCACACTCTAATCTACTACATTTTGGAAATAAATTTTAAATGACAACTAGCTAACATCTTTTATGAGCAGGATAAACATCAACAACCTTATTCAGAGAGGAAAAAAAATAAAAAACCATAAACAACCTTCTCACAGCATTGAAATATATATACCATCACAACAGGTATAACTCATGATTTTGTCAAGCATGCAAAATTTAATGATAAATTTTTTTTATTAGTTGATGGACTCAAAGTGCTAACATAATAAATAAAATTGGGAATGTGTTCCTATATGTGTACTGAGTCTCAGATTATAGTAATGCCGTTCTTATTAAGCGAATGAGGTAACAATAACTCTTCCTATAATAAAAAAAAATGAATAATGTGAAAGGAAATAAATGACAATGGAATAGGTTCTCATATTGCTAATGATCATATATAATAAATTGCCTCTGATGAAGAGTAGAAATTTTACAGACCGGCATTTGTTTTTTCTTTTTCCTAAGTAAGATATTATTAAAGAACAAAGCACATGCTACAAAAGGCAAATAACACATCCCCTCAGAATACAAAGGGGATTAAGAAATCCCACTACCAAAATCCAGCCAACGAAACTACACAAAGCACAATACATCCCCCAGGCCAGTTCAACATTAATTGCGAATACATGTATTTATCATCAAATCTTAGAACTCCTTTTGACAATCCCTCATAAGGACGTTAAACCACACATTTCCCAGATCAAAATATGAGTTTA